GCATACATTATACGAAGTTATACGAGGGGGCAAGAGGCGAGGGCCGGGCGGCTGCAGGCCCGCGGTCCTTCCCCGCCGCCGCCGAGGATGCTCCGGGACGACGCCGGCGCCCGCCAGCGCCCCGCATCCTGGCCGGGCCGAGGGGCCCCGTGTCCGGGCGCCCGCTACGTGCTGAGCGCCTCCGCCGCCTCGGCTCTTCGCGACCGGGCATCACCCTCCTCCTTGCATCCTCCTCCAAACCCCTGCCCCATCACGGTCCCCTCCCCCATCTCCCTCTTACCCAGTGACTCCCCTTTCCTCGCCTCCTCTCCCCTTCCCCCAGCCCTCAGCATCCCCCACTTCCCCTATTTCCCATGGTGACCCTCCTCCCCTGTCCCATAAGTTACCACGCGCCATAAACCTCCTTCCCTAATCTTTAGCTGACCGCCCACTTTTCCTGGCAACACTCACCTTTCCATCGTCCCATTCCATTCCATCGTCCTCCTCCACCTCCTGGTGGTCACCATCTGCGTTAACCCATCTTCTGCCCTGCCCTCTTTCCCACTCTCTAGGGCGGGTGGGCGCTGAAAAAACTGGCCAAGAGAGTGAGGAAGGAAGGTCCCCAGGTTCCCAAGGGGAAGGGCTGGCCCCAGGACAGCCCTCTGACTCCTGAGTGGAGAGGGTGATGTGCATCCCGCACCTTGCCCAGGCTGTGCTGCTCCCTGGGGGGTTTCCAGGGCGGCCTGGCCTCATGCTTAGGGTGACCAGAAGCTCTTTAGCACTGAGCAGCCACTTGGACTGGTAATCTGAACTGCGTTAACCAGGTCAGACCTGATACTGCCTACCCAGGTGTTCGTTGTGTCAGGAGTCATATTTGATTGGTCTTGCTCATCAAGTGGCCATGAATTTGGAGCCTATTCCCCAGAGCCAACTGACCTTTAATATCTGGGGTTGTATATTATTCAGGTGCAGAGCTGCAATGAGATGTCCCCATCCCTGATGAGGACAGAAATGACACAGATGAAAATGAACAGATGTGTGCAGGAAGCTGGAAGTTACTGTGGTCACTGAGAAAAGGAGCTGGGGCAGGGGAAGAGAATCCCTCTCCTCCCTGTCAGGGGGATAGGGAGTTGTCACTGTGTGGCTGTGAGGTTCAGATGTTTGAAGCAGTGCTTAATAAACTGCCAGTCACCCTACACATGTAAGGGCTTCTTTTATTGTCACAGTTCAGCTGCCAGCTTATCAATCCACCTCTGGACACAGAGGCCTGCCAGCATATTTTGGCTAAAAGTGGCTGACAGGTATGAAAAGTCCTAACTTCAGCTCTCAGTGCTATTTAGGATCTTGCGAGGAGAGTCCAGAGATGGGCTTCAGGGCATCAGGATTTTCTACTACCTTTTGGTTACAGCTGAGCCTTAGGGAGGGGTGGTGGCCTACGCTGTACAGAGTAAGGCTTCCCCAAGGAGGGGGGAAGCAGGTGGGGTGTCCAGTAGGGAGGTCCTTCATCATCTACCCTATTTTCTATGTCTACATTTTGGTTGACAAACTTTAGTGATCAGCAGGGCTGATGGGAGCTAACACTTAACAGGTACTTGTTAAATTATCACCATCTCACTCTTAGAGCATTTAAGAAAAACCTTTCCTCCTGAGAGACTGAGTACAAAAGTTCGAATTAGGGATTTAGCTCAGTGATGGGGGAAATCTTTTTATTTAAAGTGCTCGTTATCACACAGATGATAGTTTCACACTGAATTTCAGGAATACTGAGGTCCTGTTTGGGAGATGGCTTGCAAACAAAACACCTCTCGTCCAGACTTTCTTCTCTTTTCCTGAAGAGGAAACAGCTGCCAGTTTTATTGTACAACCAGGAGAGAACCAGGAGGCTGGTAGGGTCCTGTGGGTCTCAGCCTTTCCCTCGTCTGAATCTGAGAAGAAATTGAGAATATGTGAGAAAGGATTTAGCTTCTAACTTCCCCAGTCTTGTATTTTTCCTAGAAACATTAAAAAAAAAATAATGCCATGAATATTCAGCATGTGTTTTTTTGACTTACTAAACATTATAGGCAAGTGATTCTCTATTCAACTGAAACTGAGAAGAAGCAAGTAGGAGTTAATAAGCCCCTAAAGTTTCCCTTGCATTTTCAGCTTAGCAACTCTGGGGACACGAAAATCAGGAGTGTCCAGGAATCACCTTTAGCTGTTGGAATTCTGAGTCTTGAGATACCTTCTCCCTTGCTCCACATTTGGTTTGCTGGCTCGTCAATATGGGATGCCACACATCCCAGCAGTCACCAGCACGTATTGAGTACTCATGTGACATAATCATTAGTGCTTTATATCCATCATCATTCATCTTCGTCAAGTGAGGTAAAGAAATTAACACCATTTAATTGGATAAAAAAATTGAGATTTAGAGAGGGGAAGTGACCTGCCCATAGTTGAGACTCATATTGGTTCAGCCCATCTCCAGTTTGGGCTCTTAACCTCTCTGCTATGCTGCAAGAAGTTTCAGGCCAAGTTTAGTCCCTGGAGAAAGGGGAGGGTTCAGGTTTCCAATTTCTTTAGCTGCCCTCCCATATTCCTGAGAGAGAAGAGAGAGGTACAGAATGAGCATTCTGAATTATGCTCCTCAAGATGAGAGAATGTATTGAACTTGTAGTGGAACAGAGACCTGGCTGTTGTCATTGGATTAGAAAGAGCGGGATGGACAAAGGGTTTCAGAGAACACCGGGAAACATGGCTGGGGTTTTATAGACTTAGGCGCATGACATTTGGACTCTGATCATACTTTTAGATTATTAGGATGACCAGAGTGCTAGACACAGGCCCTAACCCTCGGCAAGATAAGTGGCAAAGCACTTCTGTCTGTTTAGGAGATCATGGTTACTGTGCTGTCAGTTGTGGGAAACTGAGTCAGAGGCCTGGAAGGACTTTAATTTCCATTCTACCCCCATCGCTTCATGGTCATAACTTCATGGGTGAGGTCAGCAGGTAGTCTCCAGGTAGGTAGACAGCATATGCCCTGTGTCTGTCGTGGATGTGACCCCAGAGCACCCACTTCCTTTTCCAAGTTGGCATTAGCCCAGCCCCTGTCAGAAGGGCAGGAGAGATTAAATAAGAATGACAAAGTGATTGAAAAGAGAAAGCAAAACAGAGACTATGCAGTTTTAAAGCTCCTTTGCCATTTTTAAGATGCTTTTGAATCTAAATTTTTTTTTAATAAAAGGCACAGAGATTAAAGAAGAATAAGCATTTATTAAATACCTACTGTGGGGCCAGCCCGGTGGCGCACTGCTACAGTGCGCCGTTTGGGAGTGCAGCGGCGCTCCCGCCGAGGGTTCGGATCCCACATACAGACCGGTTCCCACTCACTGGCTGAGCGAGGTGCGGGCGCAACACCGAGGGTTGCGATCCATTGCTGGACACGGGAAAAAAAAAAAAAAAAAAAAAGATAAATACCTACTGTGAAATAGTACAGCAAAATGGATAGACATAGGCTTTGAAGTCAGATGGGGTTTGTATTCCTGCCCCAGCTTTGTGACTGTAGTGAGCTCTCTGAGCCTCAGTTTCCTCACATGTAAATAGGAATAACAGCACTTCCTACAGATGGCACAAAGTAGATAAGACTGCTATAATTATCAAACAGTACTTGGTACACATTAAACACTACTGGCCTTTTGGGAAGTGGGGGTGGTGGTAAGATGGGGAGAGAATACACAAGATTTCAAAGTGTGTCACCTACCAACAAGGACCTTACAAAATGTTCTGAGGCCTTATATTTCCATGGAGGACCTTTCCAGGTAGAATATTTATGCTGGTTTTTTGGACTTTTTTTCATCCCAGGTTTGGACTTCCTAAAAACTCCTTTCATGGTGACCAACCCCGCTTGCTAACGTGACGTAACCCAGCTCCTTCCACCCTACCACAGTGACTTTTGCTGGGAGTGGAGTGGTGGGCATGACATTCACCAATGCAGCCCTTGGCAGGATCCGAGGAGCAGTGGCAGCCATGCCTCCTCCTGCCCCAGCCGCACCTTCCCGCCCGCACTAACCTGCATGGTGTGGGTGCCCTTGGATCCCCAGAGGACTGATTGTCTGACCTGGCTTCACATCCCCAATAACAACGCCCCCAAGATGTCGCTCGAGTGGCTGGTGGCCTGGAGCTGGTCACTGGATGGCCTGAGGGACTGCATCGCCACGGGCATCCAGTCTGTGCGGGACTGTGACACCACTGCCGTGGTCACCGTGGCCTGCCTGCTGGTCCTGTTTGTGTGGTACTGTTACCACGTGGGCAGGGAGCAGCCCCGGCCCTTTGTCTCTGTTAACTCACTCATGCAAGGTGCAGATGCCAGTGGGCTGCAGAACGGGTACGTGTACTGCCAGTCCGCTGAGTGCATGCGCTGCACCCACAATGAGGGCCTCAACCAGAAGCTCTACCACAACCTGCAGGAGTACGCCAAGCGGTACTCCTGGTCCGGCATGGGCCGCATCCACAAGGGCATCCGTGAGCAGGGCCGGTACCTCAACAGCCGGCCATCCATCCAGAAGCCTGAGGTCTTCTTCCTGCCCGACCTCCCCACCTCGCCCTATTTCTCCCGGGACGCCCAGAAACATGACGTGGAACTGCTGGAACGGAACTTCCAGACCATCCTGTGTGAGTTCGAGACCCTCTACAAAGCTTTCTCAAACTGCAGCCTCCCACAAGGATGGAAAATGAACAGCACCCCCAGCGGGGAGTGGTTCACCTTTTACTTGGTCAATCAGGGGGTTTGTGTTCCCAGGAACTGCAGGAAGTGCCCACGGACGTACCGCTTGCTTGGAAGCCTTCGGACCTGTATTGGGAACAATGTTTTTGGGAACGCGTGCATCTCTGTGCTGAGCCCCGGGACTGTGATAATGGAACACTATGGGCCCACCAACATCCGCATCCGATGCCACTTAGGTATGTTGCAGGGACAGGGGTCTCCTGGCGTGCACACTTGTAAGTACAGTCCCTTTGACATACAGGAATGGAAACATCGGTTGTGCCTTTTCACATTCTTCACTGTACTTTTATCAAAAATTGGTGAATTGTATGTAAACAATTTTGACAGCAGAGATTGAGTCCAAAAAGAATTTCGTGGTCAGTATAAACATAATTTCTGACAGAAGCTCTGTCCAAAAGAACTTTCTGCAGTGATAGAAAAATTCATCATCTTCATTGTCCAATATGGTAGCCACTAGCCATGTGTGACTATTGCGTGCTTGAAATGTGGCTAGTGCAACCGAGCAACTACATTCTTAATTTAATTCATATTTAAATAACCACATATGGCTAGTGGCCACCGTATCGGACAGCATAGTTCTGGAGCCGAAGTCCATTACAATGATTACTGAGGTTCGTAAATGATGTCCAGGAGGCTGCAAAAGACACTCAAATGCCTTCTAAATCACCGAGGCTGAAATGATACTTGGTGTTAAGTTTATTTTATTCAGATTCTAGGAATATTGGTAATATGTGTATTGTATGTGTGGCAGTGATTTTGCAAACCAGGTCTGCAGTTAGACTGCCTTTGTTTGTGTCCAGCCTCACCACGAGCTCGCTGTGTTACTTTGGGCAAGTCACATCATCCCCCAAACCTCAGTTTCCTCACCTGGAAAATGGAGGTAAAAAGATCATCCCCTACAGAGTTATTCTGGGGATTGAATCAGATAATGTGTATTGTAAGGTATTTGCTTAGACAGAGCCTGATACAGAGCGAGTCCTCGATAACGGTAGGCTTAACTACAACTTGGTAAACAGGGATATTGGTTCCCCAGAACTCATTATTTCTGCTGAGTGGTGCAGAAGGTTGGTTACTGGGATGATGGCATCCCTGCTTAGCAGCCCAGACTAGAGTGTGCTGAGATGGACTTGGCAACGTCCAGCTTTAGCAACACTGCCCAGCTTCAGAGAGGACGGAGGAGGAGCAGAAAGAGGAGTCCGCTGTAGACTCCTGTAGAGGTTGGAACAGGGGGTTCATAACGATGTTCTGCGAAGGAGCCCAAGCTGGGTGCCTTGGGCCCGCCATCTGCTCATCACCCACAGCTGCTCTGCATCTCTTGCTGTCTGGGCGGGCACACTGAGTGAGATGTGGTTGGGACAGAGGACTTCAGTGTTTAAAAAGAAGAAATCACTAAGTGAGAGCTGTTGACCTGGTGAGCATTTCAAGAGTAAAGGCAGGACAGTGTAGAGGCTCTGGAGGAGTGCCCTGTATTCACGGTCAGCTGCGAGACCTTGGTAGGTAGCTGAGTCTCTCTGTGCCTTAGTTCCTCATCTGTAAAATGGAGAGATAGTTCTCACCTCATGAGTATGTTGGGAGGATTAAATAATTCATGTCTTATATGGCAACTTGGCACAGTTCCTGGCATGCAACAGCATTCGATAAGTGGTGGCTACTTGCTATTATGATCAAACACTATGTTGGGCAGTGTAGAAAACGGTCCAAAAGACATGGTCTCTCCACTCAGGAAACAGTAGAAAGTGAATAGCCTTTGGAAGCAAACAGATCTGGACTTGGGTCCCGCCTGAGCCCCATTTACTGAGTCACCTTGGGCAGGGCCCTGAAACTCCTTATGCCTTCATTTCTCCTCTCTGCAGTGGAGGTAATAGTACCTGCCTTAGGACTGTTTGGAGGAGTAGGAGTACTATGTGTAAAGTACTTGGCAGGTAGAGGGCAGTCATGATATGATGTGATAATCCAAATGATGACCACGATCAATAAAACCGCTGTGCCAGGCCCGTGGTGCACTCTGAGAGATCAGAGGAAGCAAGGGCTGCAGATGGTGTGCTCTGGGGAGATGAGTGTGACCCTGGAAGATAGAGGGAACCCACCAGGGTGGAGCGGAGGAGAGGAGCCTTCCCCCAGAGCATTGGGGAAGCTGAGCCCAGGCTTGCTGGGGAGCCCAGTGGTGTGGGCTGAGGTTGCATAGGCCAGGTGGGAGCAAACCACGGTGGACCTCAGTGCCAGTCTTGGGAATTGAGACTGTAAGGGGGTGAGGGGTGGAATGCTTTTCTTTTAAAAGTTCTCCTTTATATGCTTTTTTAAAAACTTCAGAATAACATTTAGGGAAGGGCATTTGAAAATTGATGTGGTACAATTTCAGGCAGGTGTGTTGAGTATGAAAGGCTAGTAGCAGGAAAATCTAGGGTTTGCTTCCTGTGTGTTACTGTCTGTTGTGCATCTGTACAATACACGTATGTGCACGTGTGTGTGTGCGTGTAAAACATGTCCCCATGGACCCTCATTATGGCCTGTCATTCCTTTCTTGGCACAGCTAGTTACTTTCCAGAAAAAGTGGGTCCTCCATGTTCCCGTGGATGACAGCCTTCAGCTGTCCTACTGGGGTGTGGCTGGTGCTGCATGGCCAAAGCAGGCTCTGTGGTTGGGTTTTCTCAGCGTTTCCGTCTTTACATTGTGTGCTCATGTTCATATCCACCCCGAAAGGAAACAAAGGTATGTTAGATTCAAGTGACCGTGTGTGTTGGCAGAGAAGGAGTCCAGAGAATGAGGTCAGAAGGAGAATAAGCCTGGTACATACCTGGTGGCCACATCTCTGCTGGCCACCTGGCTGAAGGTGGACAAGGCGCCTGCAGTTCCAGAACTGTGCTCTGGAAATGCCAGCCCTCTCTCTGTTTCTCTGCCTCTGTCTGAATTGTGATTGATGGAACTGTCCCTCCAGACCACTGAAACCCCAGCCACTGCTCTACATTCACTCAGTGACATTGTTAGCCTTGTTGTGAGTTACCTCTAGAGGTTGCATCACCCAGTGCCAACACCATGTGGAACCACAGGACAGCTTCATACCCACCCATCACCCAGCATTGTGTACAGAGCTGGGATGTTCAATTGCACTGCCACAAACTTCCAGAAAACAACCTCAGAAATGCCCCTGAAACTAACCAGACAGATGTTACTGGGGAAGCAAATACTGTATAAAAATGCACGAGTGTGTTCAGCAAATTCTAGCTAAACACGCACAGTTAGGCTCTTGTTTTTCTTTTATGTGTATGTCATCGGATTTTTAGGGAGGCTTGCTGGGTGGTGCCAGTGGATCAGCTCATGTTTGCCTGGCCCACCCTCAGTGCCAGTAGCTGGCCTCCTGATGTGGGGACCGCTGGTGGACAGAGCCTTTTCTCCACCCCTCTTCCTCCTCCCATCAGGGATTGGTGGGGACAGAGCAGCAAAGCCCTAATACACAGAGTTGCCTGGGATGTGTGGGACTATCTGAGGCCATGTGGGGCGCCTGTCTTTATCCCCGGGAGCCACCAAATGCTCTGTTTGGGGAAGTCTTGATCATTTCTGCCAGCTAAGCTGGTTTGTGGGCAATAGGCAGGAATGGTGGGCCACTGGAAGGCTGGAGGAGAATGGAGCAGGAGGCAGACGACAGGAAGCAGGGCTGTCAAGCCAGCAAGCCAAGCCATTTTCCTGTTGCATAGCAATGAGTCACGTAGTGGCCAGAGAAAGGGGAGTGTCTCTCTGAAGCCCCCCGGCTAGACTGTCTCTGCAGAGAACTACCTATTCTTAAAGGCCTTCTCCACCTGAACCAGCCAGCAAGGGCACACACAAAAAGAAACCATGCCTGTGGGCCATCTGAGCCAGCAAGCAGCAGGCTGAGCAACTTTACAATCCTGACTGCCCCCAGCCATTTTTAACAGCAGTGGGAAATCATGGTTCCAGAGTCAGATGGACAGTCTCAGATTATTTAGATTTAATTTTTATTATTTTGGTACTGGCTGGTACAGAAATCCGAACCCTTGACCATGCTCTAACCAACTGAGCTGACTGGCCAGGCCAGTCTCAGCTTATTTAATGAAATGTACTAATGAGAGTTGAAACATATTAACTACAAGAAAATCAGCAGTCACTTTAATACCACTGTGCATAATACCACATTTACGTCACAGCATCCAGTTGTATTAGAGCCTATTCTTGGAGCCAGACAGACTCAGTCCCAGCGAGGACTAAATAGTAAGTTTCAGCAGATCACTTAACTTGTCTAAATCTCAGTTGTTCCATCTGGAAAGTGGGTGAAGTGATGTCTGTAAAGTATTTATTTAGCACAAACATGCACACAGAAATCTTCAATTATTGGTAATGAGGCCAAAGGTCATGTAGTTGCCCTGGAAGGTAAATATGCAAATGTCCCCTCTTTACAGAGGAGGAGGGTATGGCTCAGAGAGGTTGAGTGATTTGCCCTAAGTAATACAGCATGTAAGGGTCAGAGCCAGTTGTCTGTCCCCAAGTCTTCTCTCCTTTCCTCTCCTCCATTTGTCCTCTTAGTTTGAATTATTACTCATACGCACTTCCTGCAGCCATCCATTTCTGGTTCAAAGCATGCATTAATATGTTCTGCTGCTAGAGAGAAAGCTGTTTTACTTTTGTCCTAAGGGACATTAAATCAGAGATGCAGTGCCAACTTGCCCAGGGTCATTGTTGTCACAGTGAGGCACTGAAGACACCAAATCACCACTGTCCCAGCCCCTCTTCAGGGCTCTGTTTCCTCCTGGGTCATCCTTCCTGAGAGCTGTCGGGCTGACCCCACCCCTTCTGAAACCATCACACAGCTGTGGTGGTGCCTTCATTTATGGACATTGAGGTGGTGACGAGGCCAAGTGTATCTGCAGACCCTTGGATTGGAAGTGGGACGTGAAGGTGCACACATGGCAGCATTCCAACCAGAACCCCCTCCTGGGTGATGGCACCCTTGTTTGGTCCTCACCACCTGCATTTCAAGTATGTAGCTCCTTACAAAGGTGTTAATCTGTTTCCTCTTGAAGCCCAGGTGTTTCCTTTGGGTGTCCAGTTTCTCAGAATGAGGCCTGGGAAGCTTAGACAAAGAGCATGCCATCCTTGGGCCTCAAAATGGATTTGAAGGTTGGAACCCAAAGAGGAGAGCACTGTGTGAGCCTTTGGAGCGGGACTATAGTAAACACAGTTATTGGGCAAGTTATTCCGGGGCTCCCCTGGTTGGGCTTAGGAGTCTCAAAAGGGTAGTGCAAGGCTCAGTCCATTGCTTTAATGCAGGGAGTCTATAACCCAGAGTAGATTAAGCCAATGAAGGAATGAGTGTTTGCCAAGAGCACAGTGAGGACAGATGCACAGCCTGTATTGCCCTTACCGAACTATCCCCTGCCCCCAGATGGGCTGTATTAGGCCAGTAGGGCTACTATAACAAAATACCACGGACGGGGTGGCCGATAAACAACAGAAATGTATTTCTCACAGCTCTGAGTCTGGAAGGCCAAGATCAAGGTGCCACCAGATTCATTGTCATGTGAGGGCCCACTTCTGGTTCATAGGTGGCACATTCTTGCCATGTCCTCACATGGTGGAAAGGGCAAATGAGCTCTCTGGGGCCTCTTTTTTTTTTTTTTTTTTGGTGGCTGGCCAGTAGGAGGATGTGAACCTTTGACCTTGGTGCCACCAGCACCACACTCTCTCAAGTGAGCTAACTGGCCAGCCCCAGGGGCCTCTTTTATAAAGCACTAATTCCATTCATGAGGATTCTGCCCTCATGAACTAATTTCCTCCCAAAGGCCCCACCTCCTAACACCATCACCTCGGGGTTAGGTTTCAACATATGAATTTTGTGGGGACACAGACATTCAAACCATAGCATAGTCTCCAGGGGGGTGAGGCAGAAGTTCAGGTGCTTTGGAAGCTGAAAACTTTCACCACAGCAACCCCCCTCCCCCCCCCCTGCCCCGCTTCTGGCCTTCCCTGAATCCTGCCTTCCTTCACTCTCTTTTCTCTGTTTCTTCCACAAGGTCTGAAAACTCCAAGCGGCTGTGAGCTGGTGGTTGGAGGTGAGCCCCAGTGCTGGGCGGAAGGACGCTGCCTCCTCTTCGATGATTCTTTCCTGCACACTGCATTCCATGAAGGTGGGTGGCTGCCTTCCTCCTTAACTTTTTTTCTTTTTAACTAATAGTCTTATTTTTTAGAGCAGTATTAGGTTTCCAGAAAAATTGAGCAGAAAGTACCAAGTATGCCCGTTAACATCAACCCCTCCAACAAACATACGCACACACACACACAATTTCCTCTTGTCTTAGCTTCTCTTTTTTTGATGGCTGGCTAGTACGGAATCTGAAACCTTGACCTTGGTGTTATCAGCACTACGCTCTACTGACGGAACTAACCAGCCAGCCCATGAGCATATACTTGTGAGGGCCTTCTTGGTGAGGACTCTCTGTGGAGTCCTGAGGGGGTGCAGGGCATCACATGGCAAGAGGGCAAGAGCATGCTCATGTTTCTCCCTCTCCTTATAAAGCCACCAGTCTACTCACATGATAACCCATTAATTCATTAAGCCACGATTAATACTTAGCCCTCATGATCCAATCACCTCTTATCCCATTGTGGGATTTTCCACCCTCTTAGTACTTTTAAAATGGGGATTAAGTCCCAACATGAGATTTGGAGGGGACATTCAAACCATGGCACCCCTATTATTAACAGCTTGCATTAGTGTGGTACATTTGTTACAATCGATGAGCCAATATTTACATATTGTTTTTACCTAAAGTCCATAGTTAACATTAGAGTTCACTCTTGGTGTGTTCATTCTGTGGACTTTCACAAATGTATAATGACATGTATCCACCATGACAATACCATGGAACAGTTTCACTGCCCTAAAAGTCCTCTGTGCTCCATCTAGTCATCCCTCCCTCCACCTCCTCAATTCCTTCCATCCACCCTGCTCAGAACCTGATGAAGCCATGTTAACATTCTTGATCAGAGAAGAGGAGGTCTTTCGATCAGGGCCGAGGGACAGGATGGGTCCCTGCCCCAAAGCTAACTGTGTGGGGTCCAGCTCTGCATGGGTCCTGGCTCTGAGCCAGTTTGAACCTCTCTTTCCATCCCCTGCCCCACAGGCTCAGCAGAAGATGGCCCACGGGTGGTTTTCATGGTGGATTTGTGGCATCCAAACGTCGCAGCTGCCGAGCGGCAGGCCCTTGATTTCATCTTTGCTCCAGGACGATGAGGACATTTCCCATGCTGGAGTCTGCAGGAGGGGTCAAGACCAGCCCGGGAAAACTGTGGCGCTCTCCAGCCCCCACCGTATTATGATTCCATGCTAAGAAACCTGCCTCAACAGAAAGCTCTTCTTCGGGATTTTATATCATGTGGGTCCCTCCTTCCTTTGGTTATTGTAAATGGAAAACTTTCGGCTTGTATTTCCTTAGATCTTTTTTCCTCCCCATCATTTGCTTCTGAGATTCCTTTCTGGCCTAACAGCGTATTCCTTTGACTCCGTGACCAGAGACTCCGTGCCCTTGTCAGTTTGTGTTATGTTGCTATTTGGTTTTTTCAGTGCTCTGAAACAGAGTAACCAAATGGTTATTTGTCTGAATGTAATGATGTAAAACTTCTTGTGGTCATCTTAAAAGAACAAAACAAACAAAACAAAAAACTGCAAATCACAGAGGTAGAGAACTTGGCCTCCGTTGCTGGCACACAGGGGACACTGCAGCTGCCCCAGGGCAAGGGAGAGTCTGTAGTCCCCACACCTGACAGGCTTCCTTCGCAGGGTGGAGAAGCTACCAGACACAGTCAGGGGTGGTGCACAGTATCAGGGCCTGGGGAAACTGTCACCACCACTCACTTCACCCCAAACCCTGACAGGTTCCCTGATGGCAAAGAGCATTCAGCTGGTGGGACTGCAGGCTTTTCTTTAAACACGACTTTCCTACAAAGCCGAGGCTGGTGTCCTCAAGAACCATGATGGGGCTCCCATGGACCAGCCACAGAATGTGTGATCTGCTTACCTCACTGCCTACAGAAGCCCTACTGCCAAACCGGGCCCGGAAAATTCCCAGTTTTAGCTGTTTTGAGTCCACTGCAAGGAATGTTAAGACCACCAGGCTGGCTGATAGGAGCTGTGGTGGGATAAGACCTCACGCACCCAGTGACATTCCAGGAAAGCCTTTCTCTGGCAAAACTGGAATTATAGATCTGACCAGAATGTCTGTTTTGCTTTGGAGTTCTGTTGCCTATGATTTTTCATTATTTGTCTGTATATAAATGTTTAAACGCTAGGCTCGGAAATAGTGGAAGAGTTGGCCCTGTGTCTTTGTCATTGCACGAGCATGTGCGCTGAATGACAGTGACCCAAGCCAATGTGTATTTGTGAGGACACAGAGAAGACCTGCAAACTCAAAGGACCCAAGGTCACTGTGCTGGCTTTTTGGTCTCCTGTAAAGAACATACAGATCTCTTCCCAAAGGAAGAAGCCAGTTTGAGGCAGTAGGTCTAGAAACAGCCTCCTGTTAGCAATGTGTGAAAGCAAAGCCTACCAGCCATACTAGAGATGCCTTTTTTGAATATTATATTATAGGCAGTGTCAGATTTATAAAGCCAAGGAGTGGTATGGGGTATACAGCTTGTCGCAGGTACAGGTCAGTATCTGTATCCAAGTGGGAACCAGCAGCTTCTATGAGATACAATTGTCAGAAGCAAACACGATCTGAAATGCACTAGGTGGTCACTAGCAAGTGTGCAAAGAGAACATGTCTACACTTAAGTAACATGTTTACACAGATATTTTCCAGTGATTGGAGTGCAGGAAAAAGCAGACATCTCAAACACACCTGACGTCTTTTACTCATTAAGTCTCTTGTTAACAACTGAGGTGCATGATTTCTACACATTCTGACTCCTGCTCTACGTTTACAAAACCAACAGCCCAGACAGGTACCTGGCGACCTGTACTCATGTGACGTGGTTGGGGAACAGAAGATAAATAAAGGATCTTGCTGAAAACCAGAGTGAAGTGGTGAAGTAGTCTGTTGGAAAGGAGCGTGATAGGCAGAAGCCCTGGGAGGGGCACTTGCGTAAGTCTGAGGCTCGTTTTTTTTTTTTTTTTTTTTTTTTTTTT